CCACCCTTCTTCTTCTCCTCCTCCTTCTTTTCGGTCTTCTTTGACTTCTTTGACTTGGCCTTTAACTCGTTTTCTGAATCATCAAACGCATCGCCAGTCCAGTCGTACTTGCCGGAGCCGAGACCCTTGCTAGCCGTCGCGTCTTCGTCCATTTCCACGTCGCTGTCCTCCTCCTCTTCCTCATCCTCGTCGCCGTCTTCGTACTCTTCGTCTTCCTCGTCAGACTCCTCGAGGTTGTCGGTGCCACTAATGGTGAGTTGAGCGCCGCCGTCTCCCATTTCAATGTCAGAGTCCTCATCACTCTCGAGATCCGCACCTCCATCGGCGTCTTCCATACCGCTGTCCTCATCGAAGTAGCTAGGCTTGAGGCCGAATGTGATACGCCTCCTCTCATCGTCCACCGAGAGAATCTTGGCCTTGACCACATCGCCCTCATTGTAGAGCTTGCGGGCATCCTCAACGGGCTTCTCGGCCATCTGACTGCGATGGCACAGGCCACTGACGTTGAGGGAGTTGTCGACTACGATGAATGCACCGAACTCCTCGACCTTGCGGACCTTTCCGGTCACGATCTGTCCCTCCTTAACGTCCTTGTACGTCACAGGGGGGGTGTAGTCGTTCTCAACGACAGAGGCCTTGAGACTTAGCTCGACCTGGCTGGTAGCGGCGTCGACATTGATCACTCGGCCCTTGACTAGTTGGTCAACTTGGAAGGCGCCTCTCCAGTCCTTGATGTAACGATCAGACAAATTGCCAATCTTGACCAAAGCAGAGACGGTACCGCCGAGTTGCACAAAGACACCCTTGTCAGTCACGTTCTTCACAAAACCACGGATAATGTCTCCAGAGGCAATCTGAGACACTCTGGTGATTTCGCGATCCGCGACAGGCGACGTGGAGCTGAGAATGCGGGAGGGTCTGGTTGACAGTCTGAGTCTCTTGTCGCTCTTGTCGACCTCCACTACGGAGACGCGGACGATTTCGCCCTTGTTGTACTTGAGGGTGTTGGCTTCGTCGTAGTTATCGCAGAGATCAACCAAGTGAACTGGTCCCGAAACAGATTCACTAAGCTTGATCATGACGGAGCGGTCGTTGACCTTGGTCACTCTGCCGGGGAGGGCCACATTCTTCTTCAGGGAGTCCCAAGTGACCTCAGTAGAGCCGGTGGATGATCGAGCTGAGAGGTCCAAATGTCCCTTCTCAGCATCGACCGAGACCACACGAACCTTGAGAGCAGAACCAACGGGGAAGTGCTTCTCGAGATTGCCAGCGTGGGAGAGGTCGTCGGAAACGTCCATGATGCCGATTCTGCCGCGGACAGTGGGCGAGATGTTGACCCACAAGCAGTTCTTGCCGTGGTTGTTGACAAAAGCGATGTGAGAAGAGCCAACCTTGATCTTGTCGTAGGCAAGAAGTTCGACCTCCTCAGTCTCGAGGTCGCTCTTCTTGGCGGAAAACTCGATGACGGAGTGTGTGGATCGGTGGGAGAAGGGTAGGAAGCGGTAGTTCTTGGAGTCGTGAATGCCGATAGCGCGGACGCGTATGATCTCGTTCGCCTTGACCTTCTGCAGAGGGTTCTTGCGGTTCGTGATGTCCTCCCACTTGTCGAAAAACTGCGACACGTCGATACGGCCCTGAATGTTGTCGGCAACTCTGACGTTGAGCTGCGTATTCTTGACGGACATGACCTGGGCATTAAGAGTTGTGCCGAGAGCGACGTCGTCGAGTGTCTTGATGCTGTCGTCGACAGAGTTCACGGCGGACTCGGATACAGTGGGAGCAGGCTTGTCGGCCGAGGCTGGCGCAACAATGATGCGGTTCTGCTCAGGGTTGGAGGACACAATCTGGACCTCGATACTCTGGTACTTGCGCATGCCGAATGCCTCCTTGTCTTGCACATCCTTTGGCAACTTGCTCTTGGGGAGGATGGCGGTGACGTTGCCACCAAACTGAACGTAAACAGCGTGAGGGCCAATCTCCCGGACGTAGGCAGGAGCAGTAGCACCGGCAACCGCATCCTCGACGCTTGTCAAAAGCGTGCCGTTCTTGCTGGCTTCAATGAAGCTAGGCTTCTGGGTAAGGATAACAGCACGTCTGAGCTCGTTCTTGTCCAAAACCATCAGCTCCGTGAGAATGTTGCCGACATTGATGCGCTTCAGAGCGGCCTGGGTCTTGCTGGCAGACTTGTCTGAGAGGTGACCAGTGCGGATGATGGCCTTGAGACCACTCTCCTCAAGATCAACGTAGACCTCATCTTCCGTCTTCTGGCTGACCTTGGCAGAGACGATGTCGCCAATCTTCAGTGCCTTGAGCGCAGCCTGCTTGTCCAAACCGAAAGCCGAAGGATCCTTGCACGAAACAATCATCCTGCGATCCTCGGGGGTTACGCTGAGGATGTGAACGCTAACGACCTGGCCGGCGCGGAAGTGCTCTCTAGGGTCCTTGATGTAGGCCTCGCTCATCTGTGACACTGGCAGGAATCCTCTAACACCGCCAAAGAACTCGAGCTGGGCACCGGCGGGACCGATTTCTGTGATTGCTCCCGGAGTTTGCAGACCCACCTCAACCTCCTCGAGGTTCTTGATAATCGGCGCATCTGAGTTGACCAAAGTTTTCTTCAGGGTAAGGCGGAGCTGGCGCTTTCGCGGCCGCACCGAGAGCACTCTCGCCTTGACGGTAACTCCTTCTCTGAACTTCTTCTCGGGGTGCTGGAGCTTGACGTCGGCGAAATGTGATTCATGCACGTAACCACTGATGCCTTCGGCCAACTTCACGATCAAGCCACTGACACCGTTCTCGCCAATAATGACCTTCTCGATCTTGCCAGAAACGACCTCTCCGACGGGCACATCCTCAAGGCGGATGAAAGGCTGGTCAAGAACAGTCTGTTCGAATGACAACAAGAACATGGCGTCCAGAGGGCTGTAGCCGACGACTCTGCCGCGGTGTGTTGAGCCAACCTTGTGAGGGCCACTGCTTTCGTACAGCGCATCGACCTTGCCGTCCTTCACGCGGGAAATGTGTACAAATCCGGAGATGCCAGGAACGCCAGTGTCAACGTAGAGACCGATCTCAGGCTCGACATGGCGCACAGTGCACTTTTCCACAAATGAGGCAATGGGAAGCAGGTCAAGAGGAGCCTTGGCTCTGCTGCCTTTGCCGGATGACTTGGGCTGCATAGAGACGATGTGCGGCAGCAGAGACATACCGAGCTTGGGCTCTCGCGCAGCCGGGAAGTTGCAAATAATTCTCGCCTTGACGCGGTTGCCCACTTTGTACTTGGCCTCCAAGTCGACACCCTCGGGACCAACGCCTGAGTGAATCAAATCGGCGGTAACCGGCAAGTGCCCGAGGAGCTTGCCCTGCAGACCTCGGCTGGTCACCTCGGTAAGCAGAACATCGGCAAGGGAACCAGGCAAGAAAGAGTTGATCGTCGGAGCAGTGGAAGCCACAAGCGAGGTGTTGCCCAGCTTGAGAGGGTCGGTTGACAGTTGGACAATAATGCCGGTAACGCTCTTCACAACACAGAGGCAGACCGCGCCTGGTCGCAAGCTAGCCTCATCCATGTCGGGACCGACTTCCTTCTTGGCGAGGAAACCCTTCAGATCGCCCTCAATACCCAAGTCCATCTCGTAGCCGTGATCCTGGACGCTGGTGACTGACGCCATGAGTGTTGTGTACCCGACAACCTCGTCACTGGAGATGCCAGTGTTGGCGTCGGTAGGCCGAAGGGAGAGTTCGATGCGGCGCTTGGGCTTCCCGGTGCCGGACTCGTCTGCGGTCGACAAAACATGTGCGCGAACATACTGGCCAACCTTGAACATGGACTTGAGGTCAATGCCCTCGTCTTCGTCCTCCTCCTCGTCTTCGGTTTCGTCGGCGGCGTCTTTCTCGAGCTTGGAGTTGATTGTGTCCGAGATCGAAGCGATTGACACATGTCCTGTAAGGTTGTTCGGCAGTGCGATCGTTAGTTCGACCGGGTCGATTTTGCTAATCTGCCCGAGCACCAGAGAGCCCTTCACCAATCGCTAATCACTGTGTTAGCTACATTTGATGCAATGAGGGCACGAACGCCATACCTTGAAGTTGAGACCCTCAATTTTGACGGCATCCTCATCTCTTGCAGGCTTCATATCCTTGGTATCCTTTGCTTTCCGCCTCTTCTCCTTCTTTGCCTTTCCCTTCACATTCGTGTCGAAGAGTTCGGCCTCTTCCTTTGCGGCGTCTGCCTTCGCCTCCATGGTAATCTGCTTCTGCTCGAGGGGCGTAAGAACGCTGCCGCCTCCACGGGGGAACAAAGGCTCGTCGTCCTTGAGCAGCGCTGAGACTGCGGGAGCCCGGGGCGCGGGAGCATCCTCAGTCGTTTTCTTGTCCTTCCTTTCCTTGGTGGGAGTATCGCGCTTCGAGGGCCGGGACACCTTTGAGGCCTTTGCCGCTTTCGATGGAGGAGTACCCCCGGGGGCATCCTTTCGCTTGAGAGAGCTCATGGTTGTGGTTGTGCCCGAAAGTCAGTTGCAATTGCTTGCAACAGTCCTGGACTCGATATTAAGATCGGAGAGGAAGAAAAAAAAAAAAGGCCCAGGGACCTTTCTTGCGACTACTCCACTCAAAACATTTTTTTCGCCTTTGGGCGCGGGACGCAAGGCGATAAGAGATAACGATAAGACCTGGCTTATCGGACCCTCCACCAAAAAGCGGGCGACTGCAGGTGGGCACTGGCCGCCCTGGGGAATGGTCATCAATGGAAGCCGAGGTGGCGGTTACCAATGCCAGTTCCCACCGTACCTTAGAGGGACTAATTGCCTTATCTAATCAGCAGCGTGTCATTTGGAGGGGCTGGCCGCCTGCACCCGCCGCCAGGCCACCCGACCAGAGGTACCGCTGGTCCGTAGGTGCTCACCTCAGTACGGATAGCGCCAGGTTGCGCCTGGACGCTGATCCCAGGTCGCCCGCCAAACGTGGGCGCCACCATCCCAGGCAACTCATTCAACAACAACGGCCAGTTGCTGTCATTTTCCCACCAGCCTCCAACACCGAATTCTCAAAACGAATATGCGGCAGATTAACTTTCAAACTGCTCGTCCGACTTTCCCCCACGACTAAGTCTCCCCTCCGCCATGTCTCCTCGAAAGCGCCAGCGTACCACTCCATCTGCGCCGAGCTCATCGAGTCCACCGCCCGCGGCAATTGCCCCTGCGATCCCAACGTCGGCTACGTCACAGGTCACGGCCGTCTCAGAACCCGCGAACCGCCCAGCGCGAGATATGCCTTTGATGAGGGACAGAAGCGGCAGCGAGACGAAGAATACACCACAAAACTCACAGAAACAGGTGAGTTTCTTATTCTAGTGGACTGCAAGTTACGGAGGCGCAAACACTAAAATGAAAACGCAGGTCCGCAAGGCGCGAAGTTGGTACGGCTCTTGGCCACGCGTCCCAAAGACCTCCGCATCTACCCAACTGGCACGAGAAACAATATTCGGAGGCACTTCCAAACCCTCTAGCATACCCGACCTTCGAAGATTTGACACCAAAAAGAGCATCGACTCGGCGAGTTTCGACGGCCCGGCAGATTCATCAGCATCATTACCACAGATCCCCGAGGACGGCGCTGCGACGCCGGAAATAAACGCACCGATCAAGCAGGACGGCTCTGGTGTCAAAGCACAGGCTTCATCGACGGATGCTAGTAAACCAGTAGAAGGAACACCGGCGAAAGTCGACGATACGAACAAGACGATAGAAGAGCCGCAAGCGCAAGGTGTCCAGCCACCGGCTACAACTTCAGGCTGGTTTGGGTGGCTAGCACGGGCCCCAGTAACAGAAACACAATCGTTCACACCGGTAGAAGAGACACCAAAGGAGGCAGATCCCGTACCAGAGCCAGAGCCAGAGCCAGAGCCAGAACCCCAACCAGCACCATCAGCCGAACCACCTGCCCCCGAGCCCCCCGTAGAAAACCCAGGTCCCAACCCGCCCTCATCGACAAACTCTTGGTTTAGTTTCTGGTACTCGAACGCCCCTGCGACAGAGAACCCCACAGACTCGGATACCCCGAAGCCCACGGAAAACACCGAGATGCCCAAGGCACCCGAGGAGCCGGTGAAGCAGCCCGAAGACGTGGTCATGGAGGACGCACCACCACTGAAGCCAGAGCCTGCCAAGACACCTTCGGCCGGTTCCACCTGGGCCTTTTGGTCTAGAGACACTCGTCCGAAGGCTGAGGGAACGAACAATCAGGCAACGCAACCAGAATCAGGCGAGCTTGCGGTCATGGGACAGGGATCTGAAGCGGATCCAGAGCTTACGGGAATGAATGTTGAACAATCACAATCAGACCAAGCAACGAAAGACGGGAAGAATGCCAAGACCACCAAAGACGCAAAGTCATCCAAGAGTTCCAAGGCGGGTACCGCGTCAGCACCGTCAACGTTTGGAAGGAAGAGTAAGAGAAACCGTCCTCAATCGATGGATTTAGACATACCATCTAGACCTGGGACACCGAATCGGCCGGAATCAGTGGCCTCATCGAAGGCTTCCGTGGCGGAAACAACACCAAAAGAACCGCCCCTGAAACCAGGCACACCAAAGGCTAGCCCAAGCCAAGAAACACTTTCGAAGACAACTCCTCCGAATCTTCTGTTACCCTCGTTTGGGAGTACTTACCGGATGAAAGACAACCCATCCATCATCAAACAAATCACCTCACTGTTGCTTCGTACTCAGCAGGCTCCGGCGAATCATGTTTATAAAGTAAAGGAAACGCCCAAGATCAAGAAAGCCATCGCGATTGGCGTCCATGGACTTTTCCCGGCGATGTATCTGAGAGCTATGGTCGGCCAGCCGACAGGAACGTCATTACGCTTCGCCAACCTCGGCGCCGAGGCCATCAGGAGATGGACCGATGCTCACGGTTGCACCGATTGCGAAATTGAAAAGGTCGCTTTGGAGGGCGACGGGAAGATCGCGGACAGGGTAGACAACCTGTGGAAGCTCCTTCTTAACTGGATTGAGCACATTCGCAATGCAGATCTCATCTTGGTCGCCAGTCACTCTCAAGGTGTGCCTGTCGGAGTCATGCTGCTGGCAAAGCTCATAGATCTGGGCATCATAACGAATGCCAAAATCGGCGTTTGCGCCATGGGTAAGTCTTGAGGATCACGCACCTGACATACCCTGCTTCCTGAACTGTAACTGACGTCCGCAGCCGGAGTTTCGTTGGGTCCGTTCCCAGACTACAAGTCGAGCATGGGAATCCTGATGGGGGCCGCCAACGAGTTGTGGGAATTTTCAAATCCAGACAGCGAGATTTCCAAGAGATACGAGCACTCGCTTAAAGAAGTCCTCAAATACGGCGCGAGAATCACATACATCGGCAGCATTGACGACCAACTGGTGCCGATGGAATCAGCAATTTACTCACCAGCATCTCACCCCTACATCTACCGCGCGGTGTTCATCGACGGCCGCATCCACGCGCCAGACTTGTAAGTGTATTCGCTGCCAATACCTTCAACGCACCGCTAACACACTCTTCTAGCATCGCCCACCTCGTCGGCTTCGCCCTCAAACTCCGCAACCTAGGCGTCTCGGACCACGGACTGATAAGAGAACTCTCCACCCCGCTCGCAGGCAGCCTCTACTCGGGCGAAGGCCACTCGCGCCTCTACTACGACGACCAAGTCTACGACCTCGCGCTCACCCACGCACTCGAGACGTCCGACGTCCACCCCAACGTGCCCGCTACCGTTGCCCACCGCCGCGACTCGACGGGTGCCGGGGCCGGGGCCTCTGTCGCGAACCCGAACCCGTATCACCTGCCGTGGATAATGCGTGGTTTGCTGGAGGAGGACTTTGTCCGTACGGAGCTGTCCTCCGAGACGGAGGAGTTGTTGAGACAGTTTGATGACTGGAAGCCCGTTACCAAGGCGCTCAAGGATGTCAAGTATCGGCTTGAGGCGATTCGGTCGAAGCTGTAAGACGGCCATCATGGGAATAGAATTGGCCATGTCCTGCTGAGAAGAATTGGGGCTCGAAGGGCATCTCCCAATCCCTACTTCTCATTTCCTACACTTCTTTTCTTTTTCTCTTGTCTCTTTTTGGCCGGAGTTTAGCGGCTAAAGACTGATGAGATGGATTCACCGGCGTTTCTTATCATGCTTTGGGAAGGAGGGGAGACGAATACCTAGACTAACATACACTTTACAACCATTACACGATGCTTGGTGTCTTTACACTTACGACGGCCAGGACAGATATAACAATGTACACAAATTCAATACACTATTCAAACAACTATCCGCAGTTCCCGTTGTCATGGTATACTTGACTAGTGCTAATGGCCACTGAGTTTTATTCCCCGAGCAGGAAGAGGTATGATATGGTTTTCTTCGTGTTTTTAAAAAAGGGGATATCCTTTCCTACACTGCTGCTGTGAGAACACAAACTTGCGCCCCCGGTGTAAATCATCTCTTGTTCGATAATTGCCCAGCCAAGCCATTAAATACTTTTTACACTTCACCCCCACACAACCCCTTTCAAACTCTTTCTTTTCTTTTCTATGATACAATCATGGCCGCTTCCTTGGTTCGCCATCTCTATTCCCACACAGCCCGCCGTTCGCTACAATCTATCGAGACAAACCATCCCTAGCCGACAAACAGCACCAAGCAAGCAGCCTTACCGCTTGCCCAACTGCCAGTCGTAAATCGTATTCTGAATCGCCTCCCATTCGATAGTATGCGTACTAACCCCATGCGCCTGCGCCTCCTGCAACACAACCGTCGGCGCCCCACTGCCCCGGCCCGGGTTGTCCACCAACCCGCCGGCAACAATACGCGCCACGCGCCGGAGGTCCTCGACTGTCAACGCCTCAATCTTGCGACACATGTCTGTGACAGGGATCTTGCGCCCGTGGACCTGCACCTGCCTACCCAGGTCCTCGAGCTCCACCATACGGCTCTCGAGGTTCATGAGCAGACTCGAGCGCAGCTGGTTCTTGGCGCGGTTCACCTCCGCCGGCTTCAGGGCCGAGAATCCCGTGTCGAGGGTGAGGGCGCGGAGTTCGCGGCACATCACGTCGAGCATGCTCGCCGTGCGGCCGGGGATGCAGCTGGCGGAGATACCGAAGAGGCCGGAATCGGTGTAGGAGTGGTTGAAGGCGACGCAGGATTCCACCCAGCCGTGCTGGTTGAGCACGTTTGTGTAGAGGCGGGAGTACATTCCCTTTCCGGGCCCGCCGGCGGAGAAGGAGCCGCCGCCGCCGAGGAGGGTTTGCAGGGTCGCGAGGGCGTAGATGTCGTCCGAGGAGATGGGGAGGCCCTCGAAGGCGAGGTGGATGTGGGTGAAGGTCGGGAGGTTCGGGTTCAGGGACGGGGGTTGGGGCGGGAGGGAGAGGAAGCCGCCGGTGTAGTGGGCTGGTGAGTTGACGCCGTAGAGCTGAGATGCGCTGCCGCTTTGGACGGAGGCGTTGGTTGGTGCTGAAGTGGAGAGGTTCTTGAAGAAGGGGACTTTGGAGAGGAGTTTTGAGGGTTGTTGGACGGGGGAGGAAGAGGCTGAGGCGGAGGAGGATGCGTCCGTTGATTCTGAGGCCGCGGAGCCGATGGAGGTCTCTGAGCCTGTCCTTGAGAGCGTAGGTTCTTGGTAGGAGGGCTGCATGTCGCCAAAGTATTGCTCCGCTAGCTTAACCGCCTCGGTGTGCTCGACACCCGCAAACGCGACAACGATACGCTCAGGGCGGTAGAACAAGTCTCTGTACCGCTTGATCGTCTCCCTCGAGATGCTGCCTAGGCGTTCCTCGGGGCACAGCAGGGGGTTGCCGAGCGTGTTGTCTTTAAAGGCAGCCGTGTGAACGAGCTCGGGCAGAATAAGCTCCGGCTTGCTCCAAATCTCCTTGATTTCGTACTCGGCGGTGCCGAGCTGCTCAAGCACCTCGTCCTCAGTGAGCTTCGGGTCGCGAATCGTCTCAGCGAGCAGCCCAATCGTCGTCGGCACGGCGCCATTGAACGTCGCCGCCTGGTACATCATGCTCTCCCTTGAGCTCGCGCACTGGATGTTACCACCGAGAGCCTCGACGGACTCGAGCATATCGTCTGCGCTGCGGCTGCCCGTCGACTTGAACGCCAGCCTGTCCATGATGTGACTGACGCCCCGCAGGCCGGCATCCTCGTACCGGGAACCGGCGTCAACATAGACGCCTACGCCGGAGAAGGAACCCGGTAGCGCTTCCGAGGCAACGCGCAGGCCGTTTGGGAGGGTCGTAATGGCATCGAGGTCTGTCGGCTCTTTTGGGATGGCTTCGATGATCGTCGCGAGTCCCCGGCGGGAGGAGGGCGTAGAGGTAGAGGGGCGGAAGGTGGTGGTAAGAAGGGGCGATGAAGAGGCGACCACGCGCCGCGGGAGGCGCGTCGCTAATGATCGAAGCATCGTGTGTGAGGTCTGTGTTGTGTACTTCGGCTTATCGATCAGGTTATACGCGATCAATTGTGATCCCTGGCTGTCGTTGGTTGATGGTGCGCGATGGCGAGGCTATGGAAAAGTTCGCTGTTCACGGGAGTTGACGCATCCAATTCTTGGTGCTTCTTATCGCCTTATCGCCTTATCGTACCGGCACCATCGGTTGTTGTGGGGTATCGCTCTTGGCCAATGAGATTGCAGGCGATGCATCCAGCAACGAGACGTCATTTGGGAGCCGCGCCGCTCGTATTCCGCGAATTGCTTCTCCTGACTCGGAGATCTCGTAAGCACCGGGCAACATACAGTCCAGTCCTTTGAAAAAGACATGCACAGTTTTGGTGTACAGTAGAGATCAAGTTTCAATCCATTAGAGGATCGTATAGTAGTCACACAAAGCAACATATTATAACAATAAGACGAGTATTGAACGCTCGCCAGTCCTGTATTAGAATAATTCTATGAATTCATCTGCTCGCATGCGAATCTCCCTGATTCATGTAGCAGCCGCTGTCGTAACTGACGTAGAAAATGCCAGCCCTTCCACTGAGACCGCCTCCTTAAACCCAGTCGAGAAGTCACAAAATAGCTCTGTTTCGCTGTGGCTAGCATATAGCGGTCCACAATGCACTCAAACGCCATACACCGTTCCACGCCTTCGCTCATGCAACCTGTTCACGCAGTCTTTCGCAACGGAAAACGTATTTCTCCTCTGTCTCTCTCGCCGTCTCCGTAGCAGGCGCATGCGTGTCCGTGGGGGTGGGTCACTCTATGTCAGGGGAGCCCACGACCTCTGCTTCAGGCCGGTAGTTGGGTGTCTCCCTGTTATGCCTCTCCGTAAACGTCTAGGCCGGCTCTACCGGTCTACCTCCATCTCGGCGGCGGCATCAAGGCTTCGCATTCCGTTGGATGCCTCGGCAGCACGACGCCCTGCACTACCGTCAAAGACCCAAGGCCCAGCATCGTTACGCGGGGTAATAGGACCCTCGGTAGCGTTGACCAAGTGATTCCCGATAGGCGAAGGAGTGCGGGTATCTCGACCGCTACGAGGTACAGCAGCCTGTGCCATGCCCACTGCTGGGATTGGAACAGGTGGAATAGAAGTATGAGGCGCAACAGTTCTCGGCGCTTCTTCTGGAGCTTCGGCGACGGTTCGAGCGCGGTCCAATGCCACCGTGAAGTCCATAGCATCATCATCGGTGCCGATTTCAGGGAGTTGAGGTCTCGAGCTGACCACAGTCGCGGGGGCTGCCAAGGGTGCGGTCGGAACTGACACCGTCTCCTTGACTTCCTGCTTTTGTTGTTTTTGTTCAGGCTCCTCATCTTCCTCCATCTGCTCCCAATCTTCTTCAGGGTCCTCAATATCCGCTTCGAGATCTGCAGCCATGCGGCAGTTTGGACAGACGAAGATTGGGTATTGAGGGGAATTCAGTAGAGACCGGATGCACTTGAAGTGCCAGGTATGCGAGCAAGGCGCCACGAACAAGCACTGGCACGGCTAAAACTCAATTAGCTTGCTTGCCCTCAAGGAATGTTGGGGGGGGGGGGGGGGGGGTGCCGTTCATACGGCGGCTACATACCGCGATAGAGTTGAGACAAATTGAGCAGTCCTGTGTCGAGGAATTCGCCGAATTGGCTGCTGTCATGTTCCGCAACCGTTTGTGCGTCGCCATGCTGCATGATGTAAGCGCCAGTACGAATACAGTCGAAAAACGGCTTGACTTACTTGAAGGTGTTCAACTTGTTCTGCCAGCCTCTATTCAGCTCCAGCCTCATCTTCACGCAGCGGAAGATCATTTCTTCGCCACCTTTGAAGTCTATTCCGAGCTGCACAATGTCGCCATCGTTGACAGGGAAAGGCTTCGATTCCGTTCCCGGGGGACTCAGTCGAATGTGGTTGAGAAAGGTGCCGGAAGAGCTCTTGACGTCCTTGATGTACCATTTACCCTCGTCATACCAGAATTCGCAATGACGGCGACTGACGACTTTGCTCTTGAAACCAACGGGCGCGGCCGAAGGGGTGTTGTTAGGAATATTGGGCTGGTTATCTCGCTCTGAGTAGCGGCCGACCCTGATGATGTCGCCGTTCGAAGGCAGCGTCCTGGAGACTGGAGGGAAGGTCAGGCTGGGACGTGTCGCGCGGGGATCATAGTAGGCAGAAAATCGGATCGAAGGTAGATTTTCGGGCGCGGGGGAGGCTGCGGCCGGGGCATCGCCTGTCGTAGAGGCGCGTGCTCTCGTCATGTTTGCGGCTTCAGCGTCGTTGGTCGACTGCGGCTGCTGGTCAGATTGCTGCCGAATATGGCTGCTACTGCTGCCGCTGGCAATGACGTCGTCGAGAATGGAGGGGAGCGCATCCACTGGCGGGCGTTCAACAGCAGGCGAAGAGGGCGTGGTGGAGGCCTTGTTCGCGGAGGAAGTTGACGATGAGGGTGACTCCTGTAGTGAGGCGACGAGCGACAGATGGTTCAGATTGGTGTCGGCGTCGGAGCGACGAGGGGTTGAAGTAGGCGAATAGCTGAGAGAGCGCTGCAGACCGGGAGTTGGGCGACTAGAACCTGAACGACTGTGGTGGTTTTGATTTTGAGTTTGAGTTTGGGTCTGAGAGTGCGGGCTGGTGCCGGTGTTGTGGTGAAAGTGTGAGTGGGCGGCGGCGTGGGAGTGGGAGTTTGATGTTGGAGAGTTGGAGCCCTGGCTGCTGTGTTCTCGGGACAAAATATGATTTTGAGTGTAGCTGCGGAGATAACTGAGGCCTCGCAGGCGACTGGATCGTGTTGAGGGTGAAGCGGGATTGGTGACAGACGTCGGCACGGGGCCCACGGTCGGTGGCGATGCGACTGGTTGTGTAAACATTTGCGCCTCGTGGGGGAGGAGAGCCTGGGAGGGAACGGAGAATGGGTGGTGTTGTTAGGCTGGGACTGTTTTGGCTGGTGGGTGTAATAAGCAGTAGTGGCCGCCGCAGGGTTAGAATCCGTCTGGAAATCAGGCGGTAGTGTCGCAATGGTGCCGGCTCTCGACTCGTGGGTTTCGGCTGGCGGTCTGGCTGACTAGCTGGCTGAATCACTGGGCGTCGGCGGACTTGTCTGAGTGACCTATCTGCGTGTTGTTTTTTGCCTGTCCCTTGGAGAATGGGATTGTGGACTGCCTTGTTGGGGGTATCTCTTGGGGTGCAAGTAGAGAGCGAGGGTATCAAAGGCTGCGGGAAGAATGTGATGAAAGGGGTGAAATAATAAGAGAGAGAGAAGGGAGAGGGAGTGGGGGAAGAGCGGCTTGTGTTTGCTTGGAATGTCGCTGTTGGATCCTGTCTAGAAAGCAAGCTACAATGCTCTCTACTATTCTGTATTCTGATTTCCCGTCTGTCGAGGCGTGAAACTGTAAGGTCCGAGAGTGGAAGAGAGAGAGAGAGAGAGAAGATGAATGGTATTATGGGCCGAGAAAAGCAGATTACGTCCTGGATGAGGAAAAGGACCTGGGGAAGAGTGTTTTTTTAGTCTGGACGACTGCGGCAAGCCTTACAAAGTCGGACCTGGTGGAAAGTTGCAAGTGAAGGATGCTGAATGTCTGTGGTGCTCGGCTGGATTGGGGAAAGGGTCAGTCCCAGTTAGGTCAAGTGGCTAAAAGGAAGAGCCCGGACAGCCAGACGGACTAGGCGTGAAAGCAGTGCGCCGCGGCCGTGGACGGTGAGGTTGGACGAAAAAAAGGTACTTGCGGTGGTCCTGGATGAAAGTACCTTGGCAGGGCACGATGGGGGGCGGGAGACACGAGACGAGTAGTTTTAGGTGTATCCTGTAAGGTATTCACAGACTATACGGATAGAGTGCTTCGTACTGGGGCAGGAGGACCGTACCTTGGGTGGGACACAGCTAAAGAAGAGAGAGAATTGGTCTGGATGCTGGCGGCGATGAAGCAAGGGCCTCAGGGACAGGGCAGCTGGGCAGTGGAAATGGTAGGTACGCAGTATCCGTACTAACACTAACAGTAGTGGTCCAGGTCAGGTATCCGTACTTGGACGTAAAGACAACAAGTCGGGGTCCAGCCCAGTCGGTCAGGTTTTCGTTGGCGCGCGTGCCACTGTTTTTTTTCTCTTCCTCTGTGCTACTACTTGAAGGGTGAGGGGGGGCGTTTATGGGGATAATGACGACGTCTAGCAAGCAACAGCAAGAGACACACGACCAGGGCGAGGGACGTACTCCGTATTGGTGTGGCAGTTGCCGTACGGTAGGGTTTGAGCCTGGAGATGTGCGTGTGTTCTCGTCTTTCTGGGCCGGGAATGGCAGGGGACGTTATTGTTGCGGCGTTGCCTTTGGTTTAGGGCCGGACAGAACTGAAAAGACCGGCTGGAGGAGTGAGGGGACGTAAAGGCGAACCAGGGCCAGGGGTGCAACAGACAGGATGCGCCTGGATATGCTTGCTGCAAGCGTGTGGGTTGTTGGCCGGGATATCCAGTGGATGCGGACGGGTACGAAGTAGTAAGGGTACGCTATTATTCGTGCCGACGAATACAGATGGACGTCGGTGTGGCACACCATTGCTCATGGGAGGAAATGCCGTGACCGACGACGTCGATGATGTCTAATGATGATACAGCGATGAGGCTTGCGTTGCTGCCAGTTAATGACCCGGTGTCTCTCTCCCGCCGGTCGATGGGTGAAGACCTGGAACAGATCAACGCTGCTACCGGAGGGATGGGTATCGAAAGAACCGTCTCGGATTCTGCATGCGCCTTGAGGTGGGCAGTCAAGTCAGTGAAGAGATGCGCGGCTGCCATGTACAGAATAGTTAGAAAGAAGCAACGAGAACGGCGGAGCACAGACACATGGCAGGGTCATTTGGGTTGGGGGTCTCAGTGTCAAGCCAGCGGCAGCCAGCTCCGGGAAGCTGGATCAAAGCTGGATCAGACTCCCGTCCCGTCATCGGAGAAGAACAAGATGGCCGGAGAAGATACACCGGATGCGTCGCCAGTCATCTGGAGGGTTGAGTTGAAGTAGACGTTGAACGCAAAAGAAGCTCAAAAACAGACATTTACCTTAGACTTGGGTGGGATGATGTGAGGTGAGGTAAGGTGAGGGAG